GTTTATACAGCAAAATGATCACCACATTGTCCTTAGCATGGGCTTAGGCAGCTACAGCTACAGCATTCCCTTGCTTTTTTGGTTGGCGTCCAACTGGTCAGTGTCTGCCTTCGACTCTTCCCCCCTAAGGCTTCCAGCTGCAAATGTAGCTGACATTCTTTCTCTTTTTGGGGATGAGGCTCAAAATATATTCTGATCATCTAGCTAAATTCAGCAAGTGGCAGTTGTTTTTTGTGTTCCGTGTCAGCCTAATCTTTTGGGCTACAGCTCTCTTCAGGTTGTGCAGCATCTTCCACTACCTACCACAGAGTTCCAATTTCAGACTAGCTGGCACGGGTACCTGCTTCCAGTAGCTCTCATCCTGTTTCTGTTCAAGCTTCTCTTCTAGTTGTCCAGCATCTTCTGGTGCCCACCACATGTTTGGTTTTCGTTCTTTACATGCACATTCTGTCTAGTTCCAGTGAAACACCAGCCAAATATACTTGGTCTTAACTCAGTGTTCAAAATCTGCACTGGTCTTTCGTGGTGTAAGTAACAGAACTGATCTCTGACTAGATCTGTCATTTCCTCAGTGAATCAGTGATTTCCTTAGTGAATACTGCACTTCTAGAGACAGGACTAAGTGCATACACTGCTTAGAAAGGACAACCCCTACACACTTCTAGGAAGTATTTCAAACTTGTACACTTGTACATAAAATGGCAATTGATATGTATTTTTTATATCATAGAAAATAAATTAAATATATATTTGTGTTTTAGAGCTTAACTAGATATATCTGAGTATTCTGGGGACTAGAATTAGAATGGGTAAGGTTTAGTGTTTTTTAATGACCTTATTAGGTAATTACCTAATCATTAAAATAACAAACACTGCCAAAAGTTACATAAATATTGCATTTTTTTATAAAATGATTGGTATTTTTAGTAATGAAAGTAATTAAAGCTCTATGATAACAGAGTACTATCTTGTTGTAAAATAATATATGATTAATTATCTATTCTTATAAAAGCTTAACACATTTACCCTACAAGAAAATGTTATTTAGATGATAATGAGAATGTAATTGAGATAATATCAAGAGAAGTGGGTGTCAATGATTAACCATTCAAGTGTTTAATTTACATTTCTGCCGAGAAAAGCCTAGATTGATTTTTATGTTTATGTGGCAAAAAAAGAAGATGAAAAAAATGATTGAATTAGACATTCTTTTAATAGAAATGCTAGTATCTGAAAATCTAATGTAAAAATAGGTTAAGACATTAATTGAATGATGTTGGTATCACAAATTATGCTGTATTATTTTGCACTTCATTACCATGCATTTTTCTAATATTCTAATTGGTATCAGTGTTTTCTCTTTATTTTGTAAAATGATATCACACGGAAAGATCAAATTTGATTCTCCTTCGTTAGAAACCTGATATGTAATATGTTTTCCATGATTATGGATTACATTCTAGAATTGTTCATACAATATTTGCCTGCTTCATCTGAAAGTGGTATATAAACATATTTGTTCAGGTACTGTATGATAAAGTCTTCAATGGGATGTATAATGAATTAAAATAGGTCATTTGCAATGCATTATAAGCTATAAAATTTTAAAAATAATATTGATGACAGGGTTTGTGTCTGTTACAATACCATATGATATGATATTTTATGACATGATACAATACAATATATTTTATTGTCTGATTTCTCAGAATTCTTTTGCTCCCAAGCAGAATGTTTTACACAAACAGTGACAGTGACAAAACACATATAAACATTAACTAAATAAATACATTTAAAATTACATAAAAGACATAGTCATTACACACCACTCCTACACAACTACACCAAAACCTCTAGGTTTACTCCCACCACAAGTTACTGTAAGCCTATATAATTGCACTTTAACACTTTTTTGCAATTAAAAGCTGATTGCACTTGCACATAAAACAGTACTCCTTCATTGTAAACGCGTGTATTGATTGAATAGTTTCATTGAGTGTTTGATGAAGGAATTCCTTATTTTGCCAATATCCTTATATTGGCATTGAGGGACTCTAAAACATCTGTTTGGAGGCATAAATTGGTATTCTTCATGCAGAATATGCATGGGATCATTGGAGATACTAAGAGCTAGTCTAAGTATACAGTACTCTTAATGTAAGCAGTTTGAAAGCATTGCTCAAGTGGCTCCCTCACTAACTGAGAACATATCCTCAAGTGTCTGGGCATCTTGGCTTTTTGTTAACACAATGTTACAAGGTTTAACCTTAATTTTCTTGCTTGGAAGGAGAAAATTATGCTAAAACAATTAAATTAAAAGAAAAAGCTTTTCACACCACTCTCTTGTACTGTAAATCATGAAAAGGTTCTAACATTAATAGATTGTAGATACCGTAACTAGGTGTAAGTGCCATTCAAATTGGATGAGCTCATAGTTGCACCAGATAAGACGAGGATGACAAAAAAGAGAAGAATTTCTGTGAAGCACTGCTCGGCAACAGGTGGATCTAATGAGCACATCGAACAATACGTGCTGCAAGTGACAGACAGATGCGGTATATGAAATTGCACCCCATAGCTGTATTTTAAGGAATTTTATTTAGATTCAAACAATTAAAACAATTATTGCATTGGCAGAAGTGAGTTTAGAGTAGTGGAGCTAACAAGAGCTTAATTTAGTTGCAATTTCATTTTTGAAATTGTGTTTCTAGAAAGAATAGATCTCCATTCTTGCAACTACACGGGCATCATAGCTCCTAAGTACTGCCATTTTTGTTACAGGGAAATGTGTGTTGCTATGGCAACACTTCTCATCAATAACCATTTTAAAAGGGAAAGCAAAGATGGATGTTTTATTTACAATTTCACTGTTAATGTGCCTTAATTGATGTGTGTTTTATAGTTTATTCAAATCACTTTTTATACAAAACAAATGGCAGAAATGAACCCAGTTTACGTTTTTCTGCTGCAATTGGACATTTGTATAATACAGTTATACTGTATATGTCAACCATGAACACAAATTATTTTAGTGTGAAATGTCTTTGGATTTTTTGCACCTGTTAGTAGTATTTTACTCATTTTATTAGGTATAAGTTTAATTATTTAACAGAAATTATCATATGCTGTCGGAGGAACAGTCTTGCTTTTATGCTTTTCTGATTGTTAGTCAAATGTTTTGTTAAAATTAAAATCTAGTGTGATCAGTTGGATGATCTTATGCAGTCTTAGGCCATTAGACAAAAATTGTGTATTGTTTGAATGGCAAAACAAAGCAATTCAAAGAAAATCTAAAAGACAGAAACCAAACAGATAAATTATTTTCTCTTTTTAATGAAGCTGAACAATTTACCAAAGTAATTTGATAGAGGAAATCTCTTCCCTTGTTGCTCTATACTAATTTGAAAATGATTAAGTTGCTTTCTGTAATGCAGTGTAATTCAATAGAAAACAGACCTTTAGGAAAGAATTAGAATTAACTCCATGGAAGAATTGTTTAGAGCAATATCAGGGTATGGAAGCATAATGCCAAATGCCTGTCCATCAGCAACTCCTTATTTCTTGATACAGTGCTTATTTCTCCTGTTTTCTGTCACTTCGTATATTTCAATGCAGCTAAAATATTATAGAGTATGATTATTATCATTATAAGTTGCAAATCTAAAGTACTTTTCTATAATCCAGCATGTTTTTGATGAGTTTGTACATTTTGATACTGTCTTAATGTTTTAAAAAATATTTCTAGACATACAATATTCATTGCCTAATCATCACACATTCCCATTTATCCCCTGCTTTTATAAAGAGAACACTATTGACGCTGCTTTTAAAATAGCTATAAACCTTGGAAAAGTTTTTGAATGATTTTTCGAAAGATCAAAAACATTTACTGTATGTACTGTACTAATTGGGTGTTAGAATGCTAGTAGCCCATGCTGTATTCAAACATCAGGCATTACTTGCAGTATTAGCTACTCATATGATTTTTCCAAGTTGGGCTAAAGAAAAATGAGTTATTTTAATCTTTCTGTATACTTATTTGCTTTGCAAATAATCATGAAATTTTCATCAGTCTTCTTCTGGAAGCAGCATATGCCAGGAAGCTGTATCTGAGGACTGGGATTTGCAGGATACAGCACATTTGCTAAAAGATGCCTTTCAGATTTACTCCTCACCAGGGGATGAGGACTTACTGAGGGTTTTACAACAACTACGTATTCACTGCTTAAACAATTGCTTCATATTTGAATTTTCAAGAAAGATAGCAACATTTGCAGTTGCATTTATATGTTCAGAAATGTCTGCCTCTGGAGCTCTACAAATTACACTGGATATGCCGCTCTGAAAGAACTGTTAGTCTTCTCTTTTCATTTCCCTGTCAATGGCTGGATTAGATGTGAAGAAATTTTCCTCTTTCCCTTAAAACATTACCTTTGGCACACGGATTTGAGTATCAATATGTGCTCTGATAGTGGGAGGTGCTGTTCTGGCTGATGCCATCTGCTATCCCGCTGAGATCTCAGCCTTCAACAGATTAATTTGAAAGCAGACTTGCAATGAATGCCAGAGCCCTTCACTTTTGTAATGGGCGCCCATGAACACGGAATGTGTGGAAGAACGCGCGTGCACGTGTGTGTGTGTGTGTGTCACCGTGCGCATCACTATAAAAGCCACCTGAGTGTGGTCAGAGCTGGAGTGCTAGAGTAGACAGGCACTGCCTGTAGTGCTTAAGGTTTTCTTGTGTGGTGAATGTACTTAGGAGCTGAGCAGCAGCTATTACCAGAAAGAGATTGATTTGACCATTTGACAGCGGAGGGACAGTACCTTGCAGGCAGAGCAGCAGTGCAGCTTGAAAGGGTTTTGTTGCTTTATGAAGCAGATGTGGTTTGGTAGTCAGAGCTGTGAAATGCATATACTGTATCTTACCAGATTCATGTTGCACTGAAGAAGAAGGTTTGAAACTACTGATGCATTGCCTGACTGCTGCTGTTTTACCTTAGGACATTTACCATGGATTCTCCTGTCAGCGACACAGATGATTTGGAAAACAACTCCTTAAAGTACGTGAAATCTGAACAAACAGAGAAAATGTGGATGCGACTCAGAGGAATGTAAGTTTTATAAATGAAATGTACATTATGTAATAATGCCTAACTCTTGCTACAGAGTTTAGTATTTTTAATGGATGTTTTAAGTTTGACAAAGAAGTAGAGAAAATGCAACAGGATTTGGATGGCATTTATTTTACACTATTTGTGCATGGTACAGAAACACTGTTTAATATATACAAATGATTTGAAAGCAATCTTTTCTGAATGTTTACATATTACAATCAACTGTTTTAAGACTGCAAAAATATTTAACCCCTAAAAGATGTAGGTGTGGGTTTGAAAGAGCATTATCAGAAAGCAGAAGCCTTTATTCAATTTTTTATGAATATTTTATAATGCACAGTTTATATTATTAATTAAAATACCTTTTTAAGTTCTGGTGGAATTTAGTCAGACATTGAAACTACATTTGACTTAGCTTCCATTGTTATTCATGCATCTTTTGTCAACACTGAGCAGTTTTCACCTGAAAGAGAATGCCTTCACCATCTGTGCACTATTATTACATGATGTTTTTAAGCAGTGCATATAGCATATTTAGCTTTTCAAATAGGCCTTGGACTAGAAGCATGACCTCAATCCAAAACCAATTATCTTCCTTCTTGCATCATTGAAATTTCAGTTCTAGCAATGGTAAATGAATATGAAGCAGATGATATTGTGTCATGCTGTACAGTAGGTGCTTCTTTTCTGCAAACATTTCTCTGCAAATGCGTAGCATTCTGGGGTTTTCCCATCATTGGTTAAAATGTTGTGGATTAAGTCTCACAATCCTGATTTTTTAAGATAGAGTAACATCCAGGCACCATATCCATCTCCAAAGAAAGCCTTACCTACAGTTTCACATAAAATATAAACACTGTCATAGTAAAATCCAAGAGAAGATACAAGTAGATCCAGAAGCCAAAACAAAACAAAAAAAGCTTAAAACTGTGGTGCTGAAAATCTATTCTGCAAACAAAAATGATTTACAGTACTACATTTTAATTCTGAACACAAGTTCCTCAAAAATATACTAATGAAGATCATGGTCAATTTGATAATACAATGCAATTCAACATCCAATAATAATTGAAAATAGGCATTAAATGTTATTTTATACTTAATCTTATCTTATACTTTTCAATAAAATTTAGGGATATGAATGACATACACAAGAGCTGACTCAGTTATACACTTTGGTCAGTTATATCCTTTTTACATTAATGAATTGTAAATCTTAACTAGCTGTAATAAACTCTGAGTATAGTATTATGCATATGTGTTATTAATACAGAAAACAAGCTGGATATTTTGTATGGCAATGGATGTTATTACTTCCAAATACATTATTCCATTAAATGCCTCAGTTCATAACAGGCACTATAATAGAATCAAACATTACATCACTCATTTCAAAATATTTGCAGTGTATTACTTAAGCTTAAGTATGTAAGGTTACAAAACTGTTTAAGATTTTTTAGTTTTCATTTACATATAGTTATGTATTAATGAATAAATCAATGAAGACGTGATGAATAATAAAAGTACTTCTAAAACAAATTGAAAATGAATTTTAATTATTTTTACACAAATGTACTGCATATATAAAACAGTTACTCTAGCCTGAAACATATTTCAGACACTTTCTGTTTTTCTGAGCCCACACACATACAGTTTATGTTACTTTTAACACATACATTTTTTGTTACTTTTGTGAAACAAAAGTGGAAACCAAGGGTTTGAAGTGTTTTGCAAGAATCAGTTTTAATGAATACTTTTCTTCTGGCATATGCAACCTTTTAAAAATGTTTCCCTTTTTTTTAACTTGGCAAAAAGATAGAGCAAAAGAACATCTGCGTGGTGGGGCGGGGGAGCTATTTAATATTGTTTTTACAGATCATAGTTCAACTGAAAGTTTCAATTCATTATAATCCCCTTCAATTTCCCTTAGCAAGCAGTCATTGAGTGTAACTAAGAAGTGAAGCTACTGAGAAACCAGCCTAGCCTGTTACCATGAATGAGCAGATCTGCAGGGGTCACTCACTGTCTGGTACTGATTCAAGGATTTCAAAACCTGGGCTCTGTAAGAACTATTCTGACATCAGTGAGCAACATAACTATTTTGATGCAAACTGGCAGTAATCGCATGCCTATCAATTCATAAAGTAAGTCTCAATCCTCTAAAGTAATCCTTGATGCTGTTATTGTATACATCTTTTTCCCATTTGGCCAGTTTTCCAGTGATATCAGTTTTGTGCGGTAGGTCCCAAAAAATAATTTAGATAAACTCGCAGTTATCTTATCATTAAAACAATAAACATTTTTGCAGCTGGTACCAAGCGGTTTTAAAGAAACCTACAGTATGGCTTTAAATGTTTGATGCTCACCCAAAACTACTGAGACATCTCAATGAAACTAATATTGAATAAAGGATTATTCAAGGATTATTCAATATTATTCAATTTTTTCTGTTTTGTTTCAGAAACACATTAACCACCATTTAAGGTCCAAGAACACAAAAAATAGAATTGAAGCTTTACAAACCACCAGTGTATCAACTAGTTCTTTTCTGGTTCAGTTGATTTAGGATGGTTAATTGACAGGATAACAATTACTCTATTTATTGTCAAGTGTTTCGTTTGCAGCCTCCTCCCTCACAGTGGACTCACAATTCCTCTTGAATGTTAGGCAATGGACTTTCAGTTCTGCCACTTCACACCACATAAAATGTCCTGGTCATTTTACAAGACTGCAGCAATTTGTCTTCACTTCATGGATCGCTTTTTGCTTTTAATAAAATTGTTTTACTTTCTTTTTCCCTTCAGTAACGCTTCAATGCAACTATTGTCCTATTTTAACCTGATCCCCAGATAATTTTCAAGTATTGGTTTTGTTCTTATAGTATAGTATGAAATGCCAGTGTTTTATAACAAGAAGAGTCTTTCCATTATTTTCCTTCGAGTAGCACAATAATGATTATTACTTTTTCACCTATTATTATGGCATTTTAACATATTATTTATGTATAACGTTAATTTAATTCAGCTTTATCTTTTTCTCTTACAGGCAGAAATACAAAAACACCTCCCAAAGGTAAGGCATAGCTTACAGATAGCTTTGCAACTGCTTATTAATCTTTGGCATCTTTGCAGTATTGAAAACAATTGCACTAGATTGCAGTTGCATTTTAAAATTACTTCTTTTGTATGCTGAAAGACACATAAATAAAGGCAGTAACAATTTCCGTGTACAATTCATTTTAAGAAGTCAATGTGTGAGCATTTTCTTTTGAGTTGCCTTTATCGTTCAAAATAATCACTCTTTCATTTATCAGAGAAAGAACAAGAGAAATTGTAGAGATCAGACACCGCTACATGTCAATTCAGTATTGACTGAATACTGGTATTTTTGGCATTTTTGTGGGAGAGTTGAAACTTTAACATGTAGAATTTTTCTTCTTCATGGTGTGGTTAAGATTCTTCTTAAAGATATCTTTTCATATTTATTCAACAGCTCATACTCAAATCAAATATTCTCTACATATCTACAAATATGCACTAGTAGGGGTTGTATGATTTATATATACTGCAGTATGTAGTGAAAATTATTAAGTAGAATTTTCCTACAAATATTGAAACTAAATTCTTGGCATATGAGATATAGTACTGGACATAAAATAGCTTTGTGCTGTTACTGCATGGCAGAACATCTAAAATTATTATTAAAGTAAGTTGAAGTGGTATACTGTAACTTTCAACATGAACATAAGTATAAAATTAAATAATTCCAGTTCTAGTCACCTTTTTTGTGAAGTCTGTCCTTACCATGTCCTTGATCTGTATTCAGTTTTGGCCTTGCAATTCTGTTTGTGCATTCATAGTCAAATAACACAATTACAGTCAGTGATGAATAAAGCCCAACCAAATACAGTACATTAGACTCTGTCACGCACACTTAGGTATTCAGACAGGGATGTGACAACAGTTTACTGTTCTGTAGTTTCAGAACTGAGGGTATTAATGAGCCTGTCAACCTTATCACTGCCCCTGTTTTATATGTAAAATGGGCTTTTACAATATCCCTTCAGGTACGTTATGCATTGCATCCCCAAAACAAATATTGTATAAGGAAAAAAAAGCTGATTCCAAGTTCTTTGTAAAGATTTTAAAATCCCATTCTTCTAATTTTATTAGCTTTTTAATGCATACAGTACATAAGCCTAATGTAAAAAACAGTATTACTTCTTTCTTGTAAAAGTGTGTCTTATTTGACAAGGACAAGATATGATTTATAATTACATTTCATCTGCTGCCCCGTGGACCCATGGGAGGTTACACATCAAGATGGGTTATAAGAATTGAAGAAAATCTGGAACTAAATTAGTTAACACATTGATCAAAAATAACTTTGCTTTACTATGTCTTCAGCCTGTAGCATTCACGCTTTGCTTGTATAGGTAGTGATTTTGATTAATCTGTAGTACATACTATAATTTGTCTTCTCTTTCATTATTTTTGACTTTTTAAATTTCACACGATTGACACCGCTTGCAAATAGTTAAGTAGCCCCCTTTCTTGCCACCCACACTCCAGCTTTTGGTCTAAAACATTCTGTTAATTATGAGGCCTACATACATTCAACAATTGTTAAAATCATCCTTTTAACAATGGCTCTTAATTTGCTTGTTATCCCACTCTCACAGTAATGCAGAAATAAGACCTTGTGTGCAATACAGCAACCATATGACACAATCAATCAAATCTTATAAATAATCAAAGTTTATTTAATCAAAGGCACAACAGTACGGCGTGCAGCAGTAGTTGCTGGCAATGAAATGTCTTTTTCTGCGAGCTCACAAAAATAACAAGAATCACATAAATCACAAAAATTCACAAAAATACAAAAAACACAAAATTGAGGTTACATTTTTTGAATTGAATAAAACTCTATGTGAGTAGAGCTGCTATGTGTCCATGGTGTATGCAATATATACTGTACATGTAGTGCAGTTATGCTGAATATAGTGAGAATTGTGTGTCCATGTAGCCATTACAGGTGATTTGCTAAGGAGCTACAGGTTGGCTATTTAGCAGTCTTATTGCCTGGAAGTAGAAGCTGTTCTGTAGTCTGTTGGACCTGGACCGAATGCTTCGGTACCGTCTACCAGACGGTAGGAGGGAAAACAGTTTGTGACTGGGATGACTGGGGTCCTTGAGAATGGACCTGGCCTTCTTTAGACATCTAGCTGAGTAATTGTGGAGTTATTATTATCTCAGTGGAGTTATTATGATAAAAACTACAGCTTGCTGTACTGTAGTAACACAGTTCAAATTTAAGCAAATCTATAGGGGCCATATGGCCAAAAGTACTTTGTTTGTATTACGTAGGTTATCATAGGTGATTTTGATTAATAATGTAAAGTATTATGACATTACATACAGTTTGCCAAGAGGTTCTTGAATCATGAAGGAGTGTGATTCATTGGTGGAGTGAAATGTGTGTTGTATTCCAGGACAAAAAGTAATAAGAGTATTTCTGATATAGAAGGGTCAAACAGCCTGTTCATAGTTTAATGAAGTATCCTTAAAACTTTTAAATTAACGAGTAGCAATTAAAATCTGGATTAAAACAATGAGTCATTTACCATTTCTTTATGTAACATTGCAGTTAAACCTTAACATCTTTTTTTCTCAATACATAAAGACAGTTTTCACATTTCATCGTTGAACATAGAAAGTCATAGCTCAAAAATTGAATCACCAGCATTACAACAGCCAAGTAGGAGGGATAAGTATTTTTTTTGTGACACTATAAAATGTAGAGAACCGAAAACACTAACTACAGATACGAAGCAAAAACAAATCCCCAAACCCTTTAATAGCTAATGTTTTGTTTTGTATTTTGATTGCTGATTGATTTAATATCTGATGTTTTGATAAATGCCAATTGATTGAGTGACCTACTAATTCAAAATCTAGATTCACCACAGTCTGGTGGATTAATCAGTCAGTTAAAAGTGAACATTTTCTATTAAAGGGAGGGAGGGAGTGTGAGGGAACCTGAACACCTTGAAAAATCCAACACAAACACAGGCACAGCATCCAAACCCAGCACATACAGTATAGCACCCAGGTCCAGAATTGAAACCAGGGGCCCAGCTGTACAAGGCATCAATGCCAACCACTACACCGCCATGCCACCCTACACCTGTATTATTTTGAGTTCATTGTATCCTATCAGTTGGAATTAAGCGTTGGAGAAACTCTACATTTTGAAGTATGTTGCTAAGGTATTGGCTGCTAACAATGTCTTTTTTAATCATATTTTGCTCAAATGATCTATTTTATATTTAAAGGTAAACATGAGTGTGCGTTCCTTCAAACCTGAATTAAAAGTAGATATAAAAATGATTGTTTGATTTTTCAATAGCAAGAGTAAAGAGTCAAGATTTTAAACCTGTTAGTTCATTCTACAGTATACAGTGTTTTTGATATTATACATTTTGGATTTGGCTGCTGTTAAGGTACAGTATGGCCTATGTTTTTATCTTGTGTTAGATTCTTAATTAAATATGGAACTACCGTTAGGTTTAGGGTTTGTTTAGGGTAATGGTTTAATGGTTTAGAGATAAGGAGATCTTAAGCTTACTTCTGTTTCATATGAAAGAGTGAACCTTTTGAAAATAGTGTTTGACAATAGAGTTGGAAAAATCTTTACTTTAAGGTAGGTTTGACCAGTTAAAAATATATGGGTTGAATTTGTTTTTTTTGTTGACTTCAGATAGTTTTTGTGATAGATATTACGTTACGTCAGGATCTGGATTAAATTTAGATTTAGATGTAGTGTTTTACAGAAAAAAGGATACTTATATTAGAAAATAACTTTGGCATATGTATTACTGTATATGATTGCATAATCACAATTATCAATATAATAACATTAGGTTGGAGAATCGGAGAACGGTGAAACCTCAACCAAAAATTTATCAGTTCAGGCCCATACACAAAACTAAAAAGGAATCAGATTCAATAAAGAGAATAGTTTCCACGAAGGAACACTCTCAAAGTTATATGGACTAGTGGATCCGAAGCCGTATTCTCTTGTTTGCTTGCCTTTTCAGTGGCTTCCAAATGACGTAATTATTGAACTTTTAAAAAAAAATCTGAGTGAACCTCTCTTCGTTGTAGTAGGCAGCTATGAGGATGAAAAATACATTTTGGAGATTTGGAGGCTATGGGAAGCAAAGGTTGAGTATTGAACAGAGTGTGTGCTTGAACAAGTGATTTAATGTGGTTAAGCAGGGCAGCCACAGCATGCAGTGTTCCAATCACTTTTATTCCCTAAAATGCATTTCAGCATGGTGCATACTGATGCTACTGTACATACAGTATGTTAAGGATTTTACTGTATTACTCAGCTATTTTATGAGTCCTGTATTTATGTGCTAAATTGAACTTTGTATATGATCTTTTGTGATTTCAGGTCAAATCTACGAATTCCTAAAGCCATCTTGAAATGCTTCAGTTCCGTGAAAAGAAGGTTATTAGTTTTTCCACTAGAGGCCCCCATGTATCTGTCCCACTGCAGTACAACACATTTGTTGAGGTGGTTTGTGAAACAGTAGGACTGCTTGAACATTTTCATACTGTATATTTTTATAGATGAAGTCTAGATCTCTTTTCTAGAAAACAAAATAATGTAGCATTTCCCTTTTTAATGAATATCATAGTAAGTTTACAGTTATTTCCAGGATGTTTCACTGTCGTTCATTTCTTGTTCAGCATTTGACAAGCTGTGCTCGTGTTACTAATAAATATTACTGGCTCAAGTTGTATCAGCTGTATGCCACTTTAAAAAAGTTAGCAGTTACTTTATCAGTTTGTTTAGACTATTTGTATTTTTATACATGCTTTTTGCAAACTTAAGCTACAGTAGCATCCAATTCTAAAGTACTTGTCAAATGGGCTTTATACTGTACTTCATTCATTCAAGCTTTGTTGATTTTATACAGTAGGAGATTGCTTTTTCTACATTTCTAAGAGGTCACTGTTTCCATAAATATAATTATTAGTTCTTCATTAAAAAGGTAATAC